CATTTTCACTTTGAGGACACTTTTAGCAGCAGAGCGGCTGTACTGTGCGTTTGATACTTTCAATAAGTGGTCACGACACCGCGTGAGTGATGCTAATATAGGGTGCGATAGTGCATCTGTACTGTTTGCATGTGGCTACAAAATAATTTGTTTAGTTAAAAAAAGTACAGCAATTGCACGTATGTTTCCTTTTTGTTTTTAGTATCACAGTTAACAGGGAGTTTGTTCCTTTTATCAGTCCAGAGCACAATGTTGTGCTGATGTAGAACACAGAGGCCTGAAGACTGAATAGTTTATATGTTATCTAGAAATATTGTTCATTATTGGACACGAGTGGCATTCAGTAAAAAAAAAAACTCAATTTGCACTTACAACTACACGATAACTGCATGATCCTGATGTGGGGATATAGTGTTTTTTGATACAACAGAAACATCATGGTGAAGGGTAGTACTTCCTGTGATGACATGTTTAACCATAATGAAACTAGCAAGAAGACAATCATTATCATTTTGTCATCATAGTGAGACTCCACATCTCATTCCTTCACATCCTGTCAGTCACTGATCATCCGGACTAGGGATGTCCGATATTATCGTCCGATATTCACTAAAAAATTTAATATCGGGAATTATCGGTATCAGGTTTTTATAACCCATGTTTGTTCTGTAGGCTTCAGCATTTCCCAGCCTGCATGAACGCAGCATGGGACGTTTACTGGCGCGCGCTAGATGACGTATAACAACAACAGCTACACGCTAGAGTGGTTGGTTGCTAACCGTGGCCAACAAGCAAACAATTTAAAGCTGAATGATTGACCTTAAATATTTGACCCTGCTATGAGCTGTCCCTTAACCAAACTAACAATTGGCTTAGAATTTACATTAGCACTCCTTCAGGTGCATAATACAATTAAACACATTAACCAAAGCTAGCGCTTACTTAGCGATTAGCGTTGACGCTCTTTTCAGTATTAATACAATGAAAGTTGAAGTAGTTCTCTTAGTGTGCACAGACAGTGTTTACATTTGGAAAGCCATGTTGCATTTATGTATGCATCCAGTGGGGCATCACAATAGAATTAGGCATAATGTGTTAATTCCACAATAGGAGATATGTTATGTTGTTACCTAACAACAGTTTTGGTGTAAAAAGCCTGCATATATCGGTATCGGGTGATATCGGTATCGGAAATTGAGAGTTGGACAATATCGGAATATCGGATATTGGCAGAAAAGCCAATATCGAGCATCCCTAATCCTGACCTTCTCTCTCGTTTCCCTGTTTTTCTTTCTCGTTATATTGCCACAGCTTATTAAAAAACTGTTTATGTGACATGTTTTGAGTCCAGACTGCAATGTTTGGATTATCACTTTTCCCCAATTCACACAACAGTGAGTAGTTCAAATAAAGACTCAGAGGATATAAGTGAATTAAAAGTACCTTAGTGTCTAAGGGAATCTGTTACACCTCTCTCCTGTGTGTGTAGTCTATCACTGTGGCAGTGACTATGTAAAATACATTAAAAGCATCTGCCTTTTCCTTTCCTGATTTAAAGTGACGTTGATACCTGTTGAACTTATTTAACTAACTCACTGTGGCTGCGGCTTCTCTTACCATTCCTTCCCTGTAATATTATCCCTTGCTAAACTGATCCGCCAAATATTTATCAACAAGTATAAAATAAAAACCAGTAAGACTGGTCTGTTTGTCTGTCATCAGAAGAGCCGCCCTTTTTTTATTTCTCCAGCACATAATCTGTATTTTTAGTTTGGAGCGCTTGTTGTTGACACCAGAACTGGTTGAAGTTTTAGTGCCCTGAATGCTTAGTTTCATCTAATTTATGTGTTTCAAAAAGTGTACTTTTCGTGTAGTTATTCTGTTTAATCTTTTAAGCTTTGTGTGGCAAATAGCTGAATGATAACAGGCTGAGCAAGAGCCAGGCATTAGTTGTTAAATTGACTTTGTTATTCAAATGATTTACTTGTCATTCAAATACCAAATGTTCTTGCCTTGTGTCTGTGGAAATAACCCCGTCAGTTGTTTAAAGCTTTCGTTTTTTTCAGTGATTAATTCATTATTCATTACAAATGTGTCTGACAATCAATTAAGCAAATGGATTAAAATTTGCATCTCTTGTCCAAGCCTGTACCTTTACATTCCCTTTATGTCACCTTGATCCCTTCTACACTGTGGTTGGTGCAGTTGTCTGGAAATCTATCAAAAGCAAGATAGCAATGGAGGTTTATTGAAAGATGCATTGTGATTGCTAAGATAGATTTTTTCGGTGTTTTCCTGGAGGAGATGTCCATTAGTTGATTGTCCTCATGTGATGGTAAACAGAGAAGCAGCCAGCACGGCCCTGTGCTGCCCAGCACTGCCACAAGCCTAAATCCCCCCTCCCTATCCTTTAAGCAGCGAGCTGACCATCTGTTCCAGGCGCCAGGCCCTAACACTCATACACATACACACACACCTATTACAATCAGTCAAGCAGGAGAAACACACAAACATTCATCACAGTTAATACCTGTCATTGGCTATGTGTGTATGGATTCAGCCATATGCATTTAGATTGAATGCTTTATGTGACATTAGAAAAAAAAAGGTAATGTGTGCGTTTTCCTGTATCTCATATGGGTGTGTGTCTGTGTTTGGACAGAGGAGAGGTCCTGTGTGCATGTGTTTGTGTGGCTCATGGTTATATCAAAGTTGCTGAGGCGACACATGGCATGAGAGCTTGGATATGGGGCGACAGGAAATGACCAGGGGTGCAGCATTGTATTATTTCCCTGCTGGAGTCCTTTGTGATCCACTCTGCGCACCAACTTTATGTGTCCCTGTTCCATTTCCTGTTTTCACTTTTTTTTTTGCCATAGTCACGCTGCTCATGCAAGTTTGAAAGTAGGTGAGCAGTTTGATTTGTTTTTTTCTTTATGCTTTCAGATATTGAAGATGGGTTTTTAAAGATAAAGAGGTGTTACAGCTATGAAGGATTATTATAATACATTTTCATACAAATGCATATAATGCACAAGTTGCAATGCATCAATCTCACACAAAAAAGCTAAGGTTTGTCTCTTTAACAGACAGGTCGGCATGCTTACTTTTGTATTGAGCTCATCCAATGTGCAGCTGGGATGTATGAGTGTGTTACGTTGCATTGCACATGAATCTTCTACTCAAATTAGAAGAAAGTAAAGGACTTAGCAGGCTGCCTATGTTTCATGAATATAAAGAGATGCAAATACAGGAGAGAAGACAGATAAAATAAGACAGCTGACAGCTGTTTTTCCCATCCAAACTTGGCTATATGTTGACGTTTCAGGAACAGTTACTATGATATTGATCTGAGCTGCAAAAACTAGTCTACTAATCAGTTAAGTGACATAAAACTAATCGTAACCATTTCAATCATTGTAGTTACATTTAAGTTAAAATGCAGTATGTTTGCTGGTTCCAGATACTTAGTTATGTTAATTTTATCCTTTTATTTGTCATACATGATTGTAAACTGAATATCTTTGGGTTTTGGACTGTTAATTAGACAAAACAATATTGATATGAAGGCATTACCTTGGGCTGTGGGAAATTATAACAGGCAGTTTAATCAAGAATAAAAACATCCGATTAATCGATAATGAAAATAATTGTTAGTTGCTGCCTAAATGTTGATTGCAGGATGTTTTTCAGTTACTGATACATATAACTATAGAATCGGTGATCTATTGCTAGATATAATTGGTACAGCGGTCACATGTTTAGCAGAGCCAAAAAACTAATTTCTACACAGATTTGAGCTCTTTATAGACCAGAATGCAATGCAGCAACATCCATCCTTTCTCTACCCGCATGAGAAAGCCACAGCTGATAGCAACAAGTTGAAGCCCATACCTCTGCTTTGAAGAAGTTGACGAGACAAGTTGAAGAAAAGTGGGTACAAGATAAAGACAAATTACAGCACGTCCCATAATGACTCCTGGAATGCATTGAACATTTCAGACTGATGATACACACGACTTTAATGATATCTGGGTTAGATGAAAGGATGAATACGTTGGCTATTGCAATGTGGGTGATTCTTTTTTTAATCGAATAGAAACACCTAAAAAGTGCCTTTTATACTTCTAGTTGATCATGAAATGTGACACAAATTACATGGATACACATTTTGTTGAAAGGCTTTTTCATTTGCAGTTTTGCAGACTCAGTGCTCAGGATACACGGCGCATGTATGCTGAATATGTTTTGGTTGGTTATTGTTATTTTAAGAGGTTATGACGACCAAAAAGAAATGGAAAAAATGGATCACTCAAAAATAACTTTATGTTTATTCAAATGCAGTTTTATCAAGTCTTTGTGCTACACAACTGTCCAAACCCTGACGATGACAAAGAAATGAGTGTCAGCTTGGTCATCAAACCCATCTTTCTTCCTCTTTTTCTCTGTCTCTCTCTTTGGCCTCTACTCACCCCACGACGTCCCTCTGCTGTGTATTAAAGAGGGAACTTGTGAATGGCGTGATTGTGTATTCAGTAAAGAGGATGGCAGCTGCCGGTCTTGGCATTGGCGAGAGCTTATGTGTGTGCTCGGGAGCGTGTATGTGTGTTAATGGTAATCCTGTAGATCCTGATGACTTATCCTTTATCCTTTATGAGTATGCATGTCAGGCTCCAGCAAAATAATTTGGCCCTTTCGTAGATTGCATAATAGAAAATGAAGTCTTTGTGTCATAATCTGTCAAATTTCGTAATCTGGCAGATTGCAGAGGGCTGTGGCCTGTTTTAGATTAATTGAATAGTTGGTAAAGTCTTTTTATTGCAGCTTCAGATCATAGAACTGCAATATCATTCCTGCTAGTGCTTTGCTGTTCATTTTGAATGATGTGGAATCCATTTTGTATGTAATGTTGTTGTTTTCTGTGGTGTTTAACTTGAAAGTGATATTTTTAGTCTTCAAGGTATTGATCAAACTTTGTGTCTTCCTGTTCTGCTTTACAGTGGTAATGTCTTGAATCAGTGGCCTCTCCAGCCCAGTAAAGGACGTGCCAGTGCCGGGCTGCTGCTAATGGGAACTCCTGCTCCGCCATGAGTGCTCGTGATGGCGTTGGTGGCATGGGCACCCTGGGCCGGCGGCAGCGCTTCGAGAACTCGGAGTTCACCGTGCGCATCTACCCGGGTGCCTTGGCCGAGGGCACCATCTACTGTCCAATCAGTGCCCGCAAGACCACCACAGCCGCTGAGGCCATCGAACGTGTCATTGAACGTCTGCAACTAGACCGCACCAAGTGTTATGTTCTGGCTGAGGTGAAGGAGTTTGGTGGGGAAGAATGGATTCTGAACCCCTCCGACTGTCCCGTGCAGAGGATGATGCTCTGGCCCCGTGTGGCCCTAGAGCACCGGCCACTGTCTGGCGGCGAGGATTACCGCTTCCTCCTAAGGCAGAAGAACCTGGATGGCTCGATTCACTATGGCGGCAGCCTCCAGATGTGGCTGCAGGTCACAGAGGAGCGCAGGCGCATGGTGGAACGTGGACTGCTGCCACAACCTGATTCTCAGGGCGACCATGCAGATCTATGCTACCTGCCGGAACTCAACGAGCGCTCGCTGCTGGACAACCTGCGCTCGCGCTTCCGCCAGGAAAAGATCTATACTTATGTTGGGAGCATCCTCATTGTCATTAACCCCTTCAAGTTCCTGCCCATCTACAACCCCAAGTATGTGAAGATGTATGATAATCATACACTGGGAGATTTGGAGCCACATATTTACGCCGTGGCGGATGTGGCTTACCACGCCATGCTGCAGAGAGAGAGAAATCAGTGCATTGTTATATCTGGGGAGAGCGGCTCCGGGAAAACGCAAAGCACAAACTTCCTCATTCATCATCTGACTGCTCTCAGCCAGAAGGGTTTTGCCAGTGGAGTGGAGCAGATAATCTTGGGGGCAGGGCCAGTACTAGAGGTAAGCAAAAACACTAGCGTCCTGCGTTTCAGAGACTTGACCTTAAGTCAGGGAGAAGTTCCAATAACGGCTTAGACTTCACTCCCAAAAGATGAGACGTGGTTCTGATACTGTAAAATCCTGGAACTTTAGTTGCTGGATCTTATTAAAAAGCTCAGTTATATAAAAACTGTGTGCTCCAGATTCATCACACCAGATCACTTCTCAGTTGTCTGTTGGGGCTTTAAGTTTGGCTAATGCTTCCCTCATTCTTGAGACTTGGATTTACCCCAAAAGACTGGCAGCTCTTGTTAATAATGCTGCCTGCTTCATGTTGTTTGTTAGTTGAACTGGCTACGTACGAAGAAACCTGTAACATCTGTACATAGGTTACACCAATATGGGTGGGCTGGCACGTTCATTCTGCACTCACAGTTTCTACAGTGCGTTTTTAGAAATGGATCAATTCCTGCTACCATACTCAACACACTTTGCTGTGAAAGAGATTCTGTGCAGCTTTAAACATTAGTTACACAACAGTGCTTAGCCACAACTGTCTTTATGGTTGGCCCTGAGTTGTGTCTGCCCCCATACAGAGGTTTATTTCACTTTGAGTCCAGCTGTGTGGGGATTATGCAGCACAGAGAGGAGCTCTATATCTGCAAGCAGCCAACAGCCTATCAGTGGTTACAGATTCTTGTTTTTGTGATTGTGACCATTTTTTCTTCTGCACAGTGGAAAGATTGTCCCAAGGTAGACCCTGTAGAGGCCCAGCCAAAGGTTGTGAAGGAAACTGGCTGTTTTCATATCAGTCAAGACATTCCACTCATATTCTTTTTCTTCTTCAGGGACCTGTCACTTTAATGCACACCAGTCAAGAATCTTTGACGAGTTCACAACCGCACATTGTTTTCTAATTTGACTTCAACATCAACTGAATTCCTGAAGGTTATATAACACCCTTTAACTGTATGCACAATCCTGCCAGTCAGGAAAGCAAATACTGGTTGCTTATTGTCAAGAGGGTTGTTGTCTTTTATAAGGGGTTATATCACTCACTGTCACATCACCTGATCACCAGCTGTTTACACTTGATTCACTTACAAAGAACAGGGCAGTGCTCAGAGAGATGCATACATTTCTTCTGGTATTTCTTCATCTGGGTATACTCGGCCATGACTGTACAAATGTGTGCATTAGTGATGCGCGGATACGGGTCGGGTTGGGTTGGGTCAGGAAATGTTAACTTTATTGGCGGGGCGGGTGGGGCGGGTCATTAAGGATTAAATATGTCCAATACAGCCTACTTCTTAACAACTCTGTTGGGTAAATCCACCTGCGACCTGACGTCACAAAAGTGCCTATATATACATATATTTTTATTAAGATTTGAATTTTTTGTTGCCAGTTTCCAGTGCCACTCGAAAGGCTGTTTTCAAGCCCATTTGTAAGACCAAATAAAAGCCTTATTTAATGACATATTTAACGTGTATTTAATACGGGTTGTGAAAATACATGCGGTTGTGCTGGGCGGGGTGGAGCGGGTCAAATTATTAAATAAATGCGGGTTGGAAAAAACCCCGACCCGTGCATCACTTGTGTGCATTGTCTAACAGCCAAATAATGTGTGATACCTTGAAATCATGGGCACTATACCGGAGGAGATGTCAGTTTTCATTTGTTGATTACAGTCCAATTCATTTAGTTCAAATTCTGCTGGTGCTCTTAGCATCAGTGTCAAGTTGAAAAAGGTAGCTTAGAAGCCAAGTTCAAAGGTAACCAGAAAGATAATAAGTAGCTCTACTCTGCGTTTTATTGCCTTCAGTTTAGCAAACACAGTTCTCAGGAATGCCATTCATTGCTGTATCTCTGGAGTTAATGTGTAAGCATATTTGGTTAATCCTCAACACGGCAACACGAGTGAGTAGTTTTGAGTGCAGAGGAGCAGCCTTTTAATTGTTTGCACAGTAAGATTGCGTATCTGTCCACTGGTGATTGATGCCAAGACTGGAGCTGCTGTGCTACTGCAGAGAAAGATAGAGGAGAGGAGGGGTGCCAACATTACCTCATACACTTCATCTTTACTTCTCTTCATTAAGGACGGTAGACGAGCAGCACAGACAAAATGATATTTTATTTTTATCTCCTTTAATTGTGTGTGGTTATATTTCAACACAAGATATAGTCATTGACAAGTTCAGTGTCTTAATGGCGATGAAAGGTGTTGACCTCGACTGGAGTTAATGTTCTCTCATCTTAATGCAAAGAGCTTTGAATTAACCTTAACCTCTACCAAGGGCATTTGGTTTCAAGAGGGGAACTCTGATTTTACCCTTTAAAGTCTGTTTACAGGCTTTGGGGAATACTACTGCGTATGTGGAAAAAGTTGTATAAAGCCTTTAACGACTGACTTGGGTTTAATGTAGCTTAACAACAGTACGGTACATCATTCAGAAATGTCTATCAAAGACTAGGACAGAGTTGAGCCTTCGCTCTCAAGTCAACAATACTATAGCAAAGCAGACAGACATTTTGTCTTGACTGTCGGTCGCAGGGCAAACTCACCCCGAGGTCTAAGGCATATAGAGAGAGGGTTTTTTTTTAACCCTTCATAGAGGATATCAGTTACAAGAGGTTTTGGTCTTTTTGGAAACCAGCCAACAGCTGCAGCTACGTGTTAAGATCCTGACAAGCCCTGTCGCTCAAGTGCTTCAATTAATAAAACTCAGCTTGAAGGAGATGAAAACATAAACCATAAGGGCATGTTGTGCTGGTTAGATAAAAGCAGCAAGTTACAGCGTTTTTGGTTGCGCATGGTTATTATTCTAAATTTAAGGGAATTAGAAATGTGACAGGCTTCAAGTTAGGGTTTAGGGGGAATAAGGGGTATAAGACGTACTTGTCCCACCTTCAACACCTTTGGACTTCAGTTGACCCTGAATAAAGATGAATACAAGCATACGTGAAATAAGACAAATACTTCACCTAATGTTGGTTTAGCACTTATCTGCTGTCTGTCATTCCTGACATTGTTTACCTTCTTGTGCCAGATATGGGTGAAATTTACATTACACCATAAATTCCTGTTACTACATACTCGCACACTGGAATTTACTCTTAGAAAAAGTTTGGGTAGTCTTTGTCTGCTTTTGTCTCCAGACCAGCATGGAACATAGTATGTAGGAAGTTTTAACTCATTTTCTCAGATGCAGAAACAATATGCTCTACTTTTTATTTTGAAGCTACTTGCCACATAAACACGTGTACTAACAAGAAACAGCACAGCGTTAGACATTAGCTGTATCGCAATAGGTGACAGAAAGAAATCTGTTCGTGCAGCATTACCATTACAGCCCATTTGCTGTATGTTTCTCTGCTTGATCTCCATTTGTTCCAACAGTGCTCATCAGTAATGATAGGTTAGTGCAGAAAACTCTGTGTCTTGTCTTTGCAAGATGACTGCTGCCTTCGCCCACATAATAGTTGATCTTTTCTCTCCTTTTTTAAAGCTTTTTGTGACACATCTACAAAGACCGAACAACTGATGAAATAAGGATTGATATAAAAAATGTTTTATCCTGGATGATTTGAATATGGATCCTTGGTGTATTTTATTTATTTATTTGTAGTCTTCTTGTACTAGCTAGTCATCATCGAGCGTTTAACTACCACCCAGGCTTTGAATCCAGATGTCAGCCTGTCAAGACTTTGGGTTTTCAGGTGGCTACCCGACATTTAAGAATGATTGAAAGCACAGTCGGGGAATGAATGTTCTAAATAGGTATGATAATGCAAGATGTGCTGAAAATGCTACAGGATGGGGCGTCCTAGTAGCCTAATGGTTTGTTCGAAAACCTTCTGTTGCTTGTTATGCCCCTTATTCTCTCCCTGTGTTTCCTGCATGTCTCTACGGTGTCTGCTATCATGTCTATGGAATATAACAAATCAGTATTTAGATCGTGTCTTTTTATGGTACCAATAGAGGCAATACTACATTTTTTTTAATTTTTTATCAGGAACTGGTTCTGGTTGAACGTTGTTGTTGAAACTGGTGAAAACAAAGACTGCTCACAGGAAGCATGGTCATTTGTTTTTACATGTGAGCAAAGTGACAGCTTAATATGAGCTCAGCTGTCTTCTGTTCTCCCCCTGGGGTATGGGGTTACTTCACACTGCTCACCCTGACAGTGCATCATCGGGGTCTGCTTTCCAAGACCAGGGAGGGTGTCACAGGTCATTAGTGCAGGAGCACAGCTAATGGTTTGTGTATGTTAGTGGGGTGTTTTCAGGAGCACCCTGAGCTGCAAAACACTGCTGCAGGATTTGCAGGAACACCCATTTTGTCCAGGCACATACATTTTCAGCGAGGCTTGAGAGCTTCACACTATAGTACACATAGACACACTGTACATTGGCTTTGAGGAAGATTAATTGCCTCCACTGTCATTGTGACACCTAAACCTGCATTAATACATTGAGAACCACCACTCCATTTTATAATTATTTAATTACTGCAGTAATAATTGTGTTTTCATTTCTAACTTGTGATCAAACAAGACAAAAAAAGCTATCTGAAGACATCACCTTGGGTGCTGAGAAAAAGTGATGGGAATTTTTCACTTTTGTCTGACGTTTTATACACAAAACAATTAATCAGTTAATCAAGAATGAACTGATAATGAAAGTAGCAGTTAATTAAAGCCCCAGAGTGAACAATTCTCCATCTCTACGGAGCTCTGTCTCATCGTGTTGCCTGTACAACTTGCACGTTTAATGTATTCTTGTGTCTTAGAAGTTCTCATCAACCCCCACAAGCATCTGTTTCTAGTTAGAAATCTCTGATAGACCCCATCTGTACACCAACTGTCCTCCACCAAACAGCCGACAGACAGAGCGGGTGAAGAAAGACAAACATCCAGCAGCTAAATACCCAGACATTTTCTCACGAGTTGGTGGAGACCTAAACAGAGCTTAAAGGAGAGTTAATATTGGTCTGACATTCATCATGTGATCAGAAACTC